CTCCATGTACCACCCAGGGATAATTGTAAGTTATTTTTTCCGTTTTTGTTGAAATATCGTGTGTGATGTAATAAGATGTTGACATTGTTATTGTTAGTGATAATATTCATTCAACATTTTTTTGTTTTCTCTCTTTTTGTCTCTCTCTCTCCCTCTCTGTCTGTCTCTCTTTAGCTCTGAGAGATAACCGCATAGAGCTGGTGAGAGCGTCGTGGTCCGAGCTGACCATCAGTATCAGTGAGATCACACTGGCTGACGAGGGGATGTACACCTGCTCTCTATTTACCATGCCTGTCAAGACAGCCAAGGCCTACCTTACTGTACTGGGTAAGGACACAGTACACACAGGAATACACACACACAGGCACGCGTTCCCATGCACATGTAGAAGCACACACACACACACACACACATACACACACACAGGCACGCGTTCCCATGCACATGTAGAAGCACACACACACACACACATACACACAGTGTTTTCAGAGCATTTTAATCTATATTTTTCATGGCTGTCTATTTACCACCACAGACCTCACTCAACGAGCTGCATATGGCCATAAGCAAACAAGAAAATGCTCATCCAGAGGCGGCGCACCTAATTTCTACCACGTGTGCAACTAGAGGTGAAAAAGACCTAGATAACTTTTACACCATTCATCGAAACGCAGACAAAGCTCTCCCTCATCCAACATTTGGCAAATCTGACAATAACTCCATCCTCCTGATTCCTGCTTACCAGTGACACGCTTGATACGGAAGATTTAAGATGAAGCAGATGCTAAGCTACAGGACTGTTTTCACTAACACATACTGGATATGTTCCGGGATTCATCCGATGTCATTGAGGAATTTACCACATGAGTCACCGGTTTCATTAATAAACGCATCGACAATGTCGTCCCCACAGTGACCATATGTACATATCCCAACCAGAAGCTATGGATTACAGGCAACATCCTTACTGAGCTAAAGGCTAGAGCTGCTGCTTTCAAGGAGCGGGACACTAATACAGAAGCTTATAAGAAATCACGCTGCGCCCTCTGATGAAACATCAAACAGGCAAAGCATCTAAGATTGAATCTTACTACTCCAGCGCTGACGCTCGTCGGATGTGGCAGGGCGTGTAAACTTTCACGGATTACAAAAGGAAACCCAGCCGCGAGCCTACCAGACGAGCTAAGTTCCTTCTATGCTCGCTTCGAGGTAAGCAACACTGAACCATGCATGAGAGCATCAGCTGTTCCGGAACTACTGTGTGATCATGCTCCCTGTAGCCGATGTGAGTAAGACCTTTAAACAGGTCGGATTACCAGGACGCATACTCAGAGCATGGACCAGCTGGCAAGTGTCTATGCTGACATTTTCATAATCTCCCTGACCCAGTCTGTAATACCTACATGTTTCAAGCAGACCACCATAGTCCCTGTGCCCAAGAAAGCAAAGGTAACCTGCCTAAATGACTATCGCCCTGTAGCACTCGAATAAAATCAAATAAATATGTATTTGTCACATGCACCGAATACAACAGGTGTAGACCTTACAGTGAAATGCTTACTTACAGGCTTTTGACCAACACTGCAGTTTTAAGAAAGAATACCAACAAAACAACAACAAAAAAGGTCTCACGGCTCACATCAACATCATCATCCCAGACACCTTGGACCCACTACAATTCACATACTGCCCCAACAGATCCACAGATGATGCAATCTATATTGCACTCCACACTGCCCTTTCCCACCTGGACAAAAGGAACACCTATGTGAGAATGCTGTTTATTGACTACAGCTCAGCATTCAACACCATAGTGCCCTTCAAGCTCATCACTAAACTAAGGACCCTGGGACTGAACACTTCCATCTGCAACTGGATCCTTGACTTCCTGACAGGCCGCCCCCAGGTGGGGAGGGTAGGCAACAACACATCCGCGACACTGACCCTCAACACAGGGGCTAACTGTAAGTCGCTCTGGATAAGAGTCTGCTAAATGACTAAAATGTAAATGTAAGAAATTTACTAGACGACAGAACATTATACTTCTCACTCCTGGAGATATTAGGAGTTCTCTAGCTATAGAATGAAGCACACCATTGACAGCACCTTGACTGGCTGCATCACTGCTTGGTATGGCAACTGCTTGGCATCCAATCACAAGGCGCTACAGAGGGTAGTGCGTACGGCCCAGTACATCACTGGGGCCAAGCTTCCTGCCTTCCAAGACCTCTATACCAGGCAGTGTCAGAGGAAGGCACTAAAAATAGTCAAAGACTCCAGCCATCCAAGTCATAGACTGTTCTCTCTGCTACCGCACGGCAAGCGGTACCGGAGCGCCAAGTCTGGAACCAACAGGACCCTGAACATCTTCTACCCCCAAGCCATTAGACTGCTTAATAGTTAGTTAAATAGTTATACCTGGACTATCTGCATTGACCCTTTTTGCACTAACTTTCTTTACTCGTCACACGCTGCTGCTGTTGTTTATTATCCACCACTGTATTCCTGTTATATGTGCATATATACCTCAATTACCTCATACCCCTGCACATCGACTCAGTACTGGTACCCTGTGTATATAGCCAAGTTAATACCTCGTACCCCTGCACATCAACTCAGTAGTGGTACCCCGTGTATATAGCCAAGTTAATACCTCGTACCCCTGCACATCGACTCAGTACTGGTACCCCGTGTATATAGCCAAGTTAATACCTCGTACCCCTGCACATGGACTCGTTACTAGAACCCCGTGTATATAGCCAAGTTATCGTTACTCATTGTGTATCTATTATTACTTTTATTATTACATGTTTTATTTTTCTATTATTTCTCTATTTTCTTTCTTTCTGCGTCGTTGGGAAGGGCCCGTAAGCATTTCACTGTTAGTCTACACCTGTTGTTTACGAAGTATGTAACGAATACAATTTGATTTGATTTGGAATAAACACACAAATATTGTTTCATTTCCTGATGCTTAGATCGTTTTGGAGCCAATTAGTTTGTTTCATTTCCTGGTGCTGAGATCGTTTTGGAGCCAATTAGTTTGTTTCATTTCCTGGTGCTGAGATCGTTTTGGAGCCAATTAGATTGTTTCATTTCCTGGTGCTGAGATCGTTTTGGAGCCAATTAGTTTGTTTCATTTCCTGGTGCTGAGATCGTTTTGGAGCCAATTAGTTTATGCTAATATTAATGGAAGGCTGAAGCTTGTTTAGGCCATTAGCAGACTGTGAAGGCTGCAGCTTGTTTAGGCCATTAGCAGACTGTGAAGGCTGAAGCTTGTTTAGGCCATTAGCAGACTGTGAAGGCTGAAGCTTGTTTAGGCCATTAGCAGACTGTGAAGGCTGAAGCTTGTTTAGGCCATTAGCAGACTGTGAAGGCTGAAGCTTGTTTAGGCCATTAGCAGACTGTGAAGGCTGAAGCTTGTTTAGGCCATTAGCAGACTGTGAAGGCTGAAGCTTGTTTAGGCCATTAGCAGACTGTGAAGGCTGCAGCTTGTTTAGGCCATTAGCAGACTGTGAAGGCTGAAGCTTGTTTAGGCCATTAGCAGACTGTGAAGGCTGAAGCTTGTTTAGGCCATTAGCAGACTGTGTGTGTCAACAACAATGTTAACAGCATTAAAGACTGCTCTATGAGGACACACACACTCAAAGAGGATACGGACAGAATTGTGTTACAGTACTTAACCGTATTTAATGGAACAAACAGAGAGAGACAGATTTAATTAATGTATAAACAGTCTGAATACAAGCCAGATCGCTCAAGATTGACTTTGAAATTGGATGTCTGTCCATGTCCTGAGGACGTTGTGAAATGCCTTCAAAACTGGCCACTAGGGGAAACATTGAGTGCTATCACCATCAAGTAGGCTTGAGTTTTGCTAGGGCGATGTGGACGGGGCTGGGTGTAATCTGATCACACATTTACATTTTAGTCATTTAGGGGGCGGCAGGTAGC